ACTCCAGCATCTACTTCACAACATAACCCTGGTACTTTAGTATACTTCTGCCTTTTCATCTGCCTTTTTACCAAACTTCCAATTTAGATAGCCTATGTAGTACTATGACCAGTCTATCAGTATATTGGGTTAGCCTGATATCCTTTTCCTCTGGTTTGTTCTGGCAGCCTGGTTGGTGGTACCTCTAAGACTTCCAACCTAGAGGTTCTTGCCTGTCTGACTACTACAACTGGGTACTACAACCTTGGTATCTGTTTTCTCAGGCTAGCCTTTACAATAAGGCCATTAAAGATCCAGCTACCTCTCTACTTGGGTCTTTCCAAATGAACTTTTTGTTATCTAATTTCAATAGATTTACACAGTCACAAGGACTTATCTAGTGTTTGCACTACCTAATTTGTTAGTTTGCATTCCTCTGTATAATGCCATACTTACACAAATGCTCCATGATTGCTAGTCAAGCTGGTGTGATTACCATTATAGATATCCTAACTCAATCATTAGTAACAGTTGCTGTAATATGAATATTACATAGATGATTATCCAAATTTTCACTATTGATGGGATTTGAACATCCAATCTACCACTTGGAGGGTTGACAACCTGACTACTTCACTAGGTCACCACACCTCTACTTGCTCTAATTCTTCTCTTATTATAAACATTATTAACTTATCAATTTAGTATATTTTATTTAAAACAGACCTCAACTTATCTACTAGTCAATTACATAAACTTACTTACAAAATTCAAAACCATCTTTCATTTAACTAAATACTGTTCTAAGCAAACTCTTTCTATCTTGACCTTACTCTTAAAGGCCTTATACCTAAAGCCTTAATTGAAACAATTTACAACTACAATATATCTATTAAAATAGTCTCACAAACATTTATTCAAATACTTTTTGATGTTAATAATCAAACTTATAATCAAATATAGAAAGCTATTGCATTAATTTTTCTAACTGAAAAAAAAATAATAATATTACATCTCTTCTAAGTTCTAACAATAATCATACTTCTTAACAAATATAGCAAACCAGACATTACAAGAGATTATATATAAACTATACATACTTATGTTTATATAGAATAGTAGATCAATTACATTTATATCCTAATACATATCTACTAATTGGACAAGTTATTAGGAAAATTAACATATAGTCAATACTCTGAATTAATCATAACACATTTTAAATTACATTTTAACATTACAAATCTAGGTGGGCCTTGACTATTATAGTTAGTTTAGGTCACAGTTAAAACTGTCTAAGCTTTAATTCTTGCATATAGTTTTTATTTTGTAGTTTACAATCTTAGTATATCATAGTATATAGTATATTAATATATATAACTAAAATTACTAATAAAGATATAAGCAAAGCCTTATCTTAATACAAAAAAAAAAAAATATTACTTGTATTTTTACAACTTATCTAACTACTATTTCTATTAGTACATTTGTGCTAACCCAATTTTTTTTTAATCAAATTATTCAAATCTCTACTAATTAAATTATTTTTAATAATCTATCCAATCTTGATACTTACCAAAAACACAACTTAATTAATAAAATTCTTTATTATCTAGTCTTTAATCTTTTATACATACTATTAACACATTCTATTTTAATCTTATTTTCAAAAGGCTTTTTTAAAATTACTTATATCAACAATTTAAAACTCTAATATTTTATATAAATTTATTTTTCAAGCTATTATTGATATTTTTCTTAATATTAATGAACAATTATATAAGCAATTATAAAAAATATATTGCATTTACTTCTTTAATTAAAAAAAGCAACAAAATAAATCCCAATTTTAAGCTATTAACAAACTCTTAACATTATCTAATCTAACTATTAGACACATATACTCTTGAAAAAACTACATTTATTTATATCTTTGTAAACTTTCTAATTAATTACATACTTACTTTAACATATGCCTTTCTATTAGCTAAGCAATTTACAAAATTAATATTTTATTTTTGTATGTAATTTTTAATTTATTTGTTTTGTACAAATAGTAGTAGCTATATAGTTAGCAGTTTAATAGTTAGCTCTAACTGCAAATGTTGGTTCCAACTATAGCATATATATATATAACTATTTTAAATTACTAATAAAAATATAAGAAAAGCCTCACCTTAATACTAAAAAAAAATTTATTAGTAAAATAAATTTGTCTAATACAAACTAATTAATAAAAATTTTAGTATTAAAAGTTTAAGTAAAATAGTATTTTAAAAAAATAGATTTAGAAAATTAAATCAAATTACTAGATTTCATCTAAATATGTTAAAAATAATAAAATAAATGAATATTAGTTTTATAATAAAATTATTAAATGTTATTTTATAATGATTTTATATAATTGGCCAATTAAAATTAAGCCTATAACTATAATAAGTTGTTTACTATTAACTAACTAAAATTAGTTACAAATTTTCTAAATTTTATAATAAAAAATAAAAAATAAATTTTACTAACTCTAAGCATAACCTTATCATTAATATTAAAAAAAAATTTACTAACTCTAAATATGATTGGCTGCTTTATATAAAGTCATTATAATGATAGATCACATTTATAATTTCAAATTTATTATAATAATTTAAAGTTTGCTATATATATATAAATACAAATATTAATATACGTAATATATAGATAATAAAACCTATAATTTAAAAGATTTATAAATTATAAAAATTGTGTTTAAAAGGAAACTAGTAATAGAAAATTTATATAAAATGCAGATAAAGTACAAAGTTCAAGATATTTTTATATAAAATAAACTAAAAAAATAAATGATAATATAAGATGCTTGAACTGTATTCTAAAAGTACTAAGACAAAAATTCAAATAGACATTATCAGAATAGTGCAGATACATCAAAGAATGAAGAAACGTAATATAAATGGAATTTAAAAATTTTAAAAGTAGAAATCTTTTGTCTATTAACATTAGTACAGGTGCAAACAAGAAGACAAAATACCTATATAAGTTGAACATGAAGACAACAAGTATCATTCAAAGAAAACTCCGACTTTTATATTAAGAAAAAAAGATTGCCAATATCAAGATAAAAAAATTAGTAGAAAAAATAATCAAAATTTATAATACTAAGTCAAAAATATTAATAATAACAACACACCTAATAATACAAGGTTTGGGGACCAAAAATAGATTTTGATCCTTAAGTTGAGCTTGAACAAGTTAGACTGAATTGATATAACAAGAATATGTAAATAAAGAAGCAATAAATATAACAAACTCAACTAAAAACATGCTTGCAAATGATTCTCGACAGTCATTTGTAGAAGAATCCTCAACATGATGTATTTGTGATAATGGAATCCGCTTTATTCACTTAGGCTAATATACATTATATTTATAAGAAAAATACTATCTAGGGTGTTGATATCCATTATTGTGCTTATAGTGATTATATCGCTTATATCGCATATATTGATTATAATGATTATAATAAATATATCGATATGCTATATAAGCATTATAATCATTATCGGCATTATAAGTACGGTTAATTCATAGCCGGGGCGTGGCTTGTGATCATACGGCGAAGATCACACGACGAATCGGTTACTCGTGGATCACGTGTTCCGGGTCTAACAATTATAGAATGATTTACCGTTACATAGTACATATGAACGTTTTCTATAAGATTACCAGTAAATTGCACGTACGCAGTGGCTATTTTCACTTCCTGAATGCAAAAGTTAGTAAAGTTTAAACATGTTGCACAGTGAAAACATTGAAGAAAAATGCGAATGCAATAAAAGTCGAATACATAACCGTAATAGGCTATGTAATAGTTGTCAATTTAATTAAGGAAACGCATAATAACCAGCCTGAATTTAGATTAGAGTGGATTCCATTTGAGGATTTTACTGATATAAAACAAATTGGAAAGGGTAGTTTTAGTAAAATTTATGCGACCACATGGACAAAAGGAATAATAAAAAGTTGGGACAGGATAGAAAAAAGATTTAATCGAAATGAAAATCAAACTGTTGCATTAAAAGTTCTCAAGAAATCCCGAAATGATATTTTCTCAAAGTTTTTAAAAGAGGTAATAATTAATACATCTTATTTTAACTGTTGAAGGATTACTCTAAACATTTGTCATTTTTTTTGCCGCAGTTACAAAATATTGTTAAATGCCAGTCTAATTCTCATATGCATCACATTATCCAATGTTTTGGAGTATCACAAGACCCAAAAACGAAAGATTATATTTTTGTTATGCCTTACATGTCTAATAGAAGTCTAGCCGAATATTTATTTAATAATTTTAAGGATATTATTTGGAAAATGAAACGTGACTTTCTTAGGGATATTGTTACAGGCATCAAATGGATTCATGAAAAGCAAATTGTACACCGCGATATACACTCTAGAAATATATTAATAGATTCTGGTCCTAACCTCGTAATTGCAGATTTCGGGTTGAGTCGACCAGCAAATGATTTGGATAGTTCAGAACATGAGATATGTGGAATTATACCATATATTGCGCCTGAAGTGCTTGAAAAAAAACAATATTCATATGGTTCAGATATTTACAGTTTAGGAATGATTATGTGGGAACTTACAAGAGGTTATCGCCCTTTCTCTGATCGAAACCATGACCAATATCTTATACTTGATATATGTAATGGATCACGACCAATTATCACTAAAGATACTCCACACTGTTGGGCTATTTTGATGCAAAAATGTTGGCACTCGGATCCCTTAAAAAGGCCAACTATTGATGAAATATATTATGAAGTAAATTCTAGATATTGGAATGAGAATGAAAGTTTTATAAAAGAAGCTGAAGATGAACGACAAGGATTATTTAATGCCGGGAAATTAACTGTTAATTATATGCATCCTCATTCTAAAACTCACAGCCAATTATTAAATCCTATTATAGACACTATGCTTTTAAACTTACTTCAAGGTTCTAAATCTTTTACATTACCCCCTATGGATTCTTTTCGAATTGGCAGCGATACATTTACAATTATGTAAGTAATTAAGTGTTTTTTTTACAAATTAGACGCTAACTGTTTAAATTCAAGGATAAACAGACCACCTTCAAAAAAACACTCTATCGAATTTTTACTAAATGAAGACGATTATGGTAAGTTCAAATTTAATTTAATGTTGATTTTTTTTTTTCGATCTTAACATATTACTAGAATTATTTACGGTACCATATTTATAAGATGAAATAAAACGAAGAAAATTATCTGATAATGGTATACTATTTTTATTAAACCTAGTATCTATAATTATTGAATTAATATTTATCGTATTATTTAACATCCTTAATCTGCATTCTTGCTTGAATATTCTAAAACAATAAATTTATGTACAAATTCACATTAATTGATTAAACAAGAAATTCAAGATTCTTCTCAAACCATTAGCAATTATTCATATCAGATTATGTAAGTAAACAATGTTATTATCTTTTTTGTAATTTAAGTATTGAGAATTCGAATACAAATTAACGGTTTCTCTAATTTAAAGGGATACACCCTTTGAAAATGCCAACAGTTTAAATTCAACGATAAATATACCATCATCAAAAAAACACTCTATTGAATTTTTACTAGATGAAAACAATTATAGTAAGTTTTAATTTAACATTTATTTTATCAATCTCAACGTATTACTGGACTTATTTTACGGTATAATATTTATAAGATGAAATAAAACGAAGAAAATTATCCGATAATGGTATACTATTGTTATTCAACTTCGTATTTATAATTATTAAATTGATAATCATACGATCTAACATCCATGACCTGCATTCTCGCTTAAATATACCAAAATAATAGTTTACATACGAATTTATTTCACAAATAATTTATCAATAAATGAAGCCATTTATCAAACTATAAACGTGAGCAATTTATATTTATATTTAAATCACGATAAGCTAAGTTATGAGGCGGGAAAAGTTCTAGCCAAATCTCTCTGTACAAACCCCAAGTTAAATCACTTGGACTTGAGTTCAAAAAAACTATGCAATGGGGCAGGGCAAGGAATAGCTGAGGCACTACGCAATAATAGCACATTAACAAATTTAAATTTAAAAAATAACTATCTTGGTGACGAAGCAGTAAAGGTACTAGCCGAAGCACTGTATGAAAACACCACTCTTATATGCTTAAATCTATATAATAATCGATTTGGATGTAAAGCCTTAAAAATATTGAGTGATGCTTTATGCAGAAACACTACCTTAACTAATTTAAATTTAGGATATAATGAACTAGGTGAATCTGGAGGAAAAGAACTGGTTGAAGCTTTATGCAAAAATACCGGCTTAACTAATTTAGATTTAAGATATAATGAACTAGGCGAATCAGGAGGAAAAGCATTGGCTGAAGCTTTATGCAAAAATACTACCTTAACTAATCTAGACTTAAGTTCAAATAATCTTGGAGAACTGGGAGGAAAAGCACTGGCTGAAGCTTTATGCAAAAATATTACCTTAACTAATCTAGACTTAAGTTCAAATAATCTTGGAAAATCGGGAGGAAAAGCACTGGCTAAAGCTTTATGCATAAATACCACTTTAACGAATTTAAATTTGATTTATAATGAACTAGGTGAATCGGGAGGGAAAGCACTAGCTGAAGCTTTATGCAAAAATACCACTTTAACAAATTTAAATTTAATTTATAATAATATTGGCAAATCGGGAGGAAAAGCATTGGCCAAAGCTTTACGCAAAAATACCACCTTAACTAATATAAATTTAAGTTACAATGAACTAGGAGAATTAGGAGGAAATGCACTAGCTGAAGCTTTATGTGAAAATAACACCTTAACTACTTTAGATTTAAGTTCGAATAATCTCGGTGAATCAGGAGAAACTGTACTTGCTAAAGCTTTATGCAAAAATACCACCTTAATGAATTTAAATTTATGTGATAATAGAATAGGTGAATCAGGAGGAAAAGCACTGGCTGAAGCTTTATGCGAAAATACCACCTTAATTAATCTAAATCTGAGTTACAATGAACTCGGTGAATTAGGAGGAATAGCATTGGCCAAAGCTTTACGTAAAAATACCACCTTAACTAACCTAAATTTAAGTTACAATGAACTATGTGAATTAGGAGGAAAAGTACTAGCTAAAGCTTTATGTAAAAATAACACTTTAACTAACTTAGATTTAAGTTCGAATAATCATGGTGAATCAGGAGGAATAGCATTGGCTAAAGCTTTATGTAAAAATACCGCCTTAATGAATTTAATTTTATATGATAATAAAATAGGTGAATTAGGAGGACAGGCACTGGCTGAAGCTTTATGCACCAATAACACTTTAACTAGTTTAGATTTAAGTTCAAATAATCTTGGTAAATCAGGAGAAGCATTGGCTGAAGCTCTATGCAATAATACTACTCTAACAAATTTGAATTTATATGATAATAGACTAGGTGAATCCGGAGGAAAAGCATTGGCTATAGCCTTATGCAAAAACACTACCTTAACGAATTTGGACTTAAGTAAGAATAGTTTAGGTGAATCGGGAGAAAAAGCACTTGCTGATGCTTTATGCAAAAATATGATCTCATCTAATTTAGATTTACGTCATATAATCGTATAACTCTACTTAAATTACAAACTATATTAAAAGTAATAAAAATAAAAATAAAAATATTTAACTGTTCCATTTTATATTGGTGAGTTAATAAAACATCTTATGTTCATTTGCTTCATACCCAACCATCGTTGTTAATTGGTTTTTAGATGAAAAACTACTGTAAAAATCTGACTTGCTTAGCTCAGGTGTATACCCTAGTGTTACAAATCGTTAACCGATAGTTGGTCATTATTTTTTCAGTTTGTTGCAACTAATCGATCAGTTGCAACTGATGGGTTAATTGATTAATCGATTAGTTACAACTGGTCGATTAATCTAGTTGCGACTAATTCATTAAGTAAATAAATGATTTTTCAATCGATTCTTTGCAACTAAACAATTAATTATTTAGTCGATTAATCGATTAGTTGGTGTCTAAAAAGTTCAATCGTTTAGTTGTCAACTAACCAACTAATCGATTTATTTCGATTCCGATTTGTATCACTAGTATACCCTACAGTTTTAAGAGTTAGGCGGTGACTTGTACTCTATACGGTTATCTCTGTACCCTGGATACAGAAATTGTTAGTAATATACCCTGGGCACATGAAACATTTTTTTACGGTATTCACCAAACTTACAAACTTGTATGCACCTCCAAAAGTTTATCATGCTTACAGAAAAACTTAACAAATTTATGATAATTATTTGACAAATAGTATATGTATACAACTCTTGATGTAAGAAACTCTTGATTTAAGAAAGATTTTACAAGTCCCAATTGAAAATTTTATAATAAAAAGCCTTTGATATAATAAACCCCTGATATAAGAAAGATTTGGGGCCGGAACCGGTGATTGTGTATGCCATAGTCAGTTGTATTCATTAATATTTTTTATTACTTTGCGTGCAATATATTACATCGTTGATCTGGATGTAACTGTGTCAACTTTTGGAAGAAACTGTGCATATGCCTATAATTCAAAATAAACCAAATAAAAATTGCTGTTTAAAGTCACAAAATTATACAATTAATTAATTTTAGTCATATGACTACAATATAGCCTATCAGAAGGATAATTGTCACATTCTTTTGTGTTAAGTACTTATCACGTACACATAATAAATAATCTAATTAAAGGATACGACAATTACCAGTAACAGACCATTTATAATAACTTTAATCCGAGTGAAAATAGATTTATATTTAAAGGTGCAGATTAAGAACTTTTATTTTCATTTGAATACTTGCTCAATATTTTGATGCGTTTAGTTTGTGCACAAATTTATCGAAAAGGCTGTTCTTGTCAGCCAATAAATCTTGACAGGAAATTTAAAAAAGCTTTGGGCATAAAATATACTTTGCAAAAACCTTATATTTTTGCGATAGCCTTAAAATATTCTAAATCTAATGTAAATTATTAATAATATAGGTTGCTAAGAGGAAATCTAAGAGGAAATTTTATACAGTAAACTCTCATTAATATCAACCTAAGCTATAGGACAAATTTTCATATATTTAAAATTTCCCTCATATATATCAACTTTAATATGATTCTTCATTAATATTACTATTAGCATGGATGCAGAAATTTTATACCCGTTGATATTCTTAGCCAATAAAAATAAAGAATCGCAAGTCACATGGTATATATAAAATAACGATTTTTTACTAAGTATAGTAAAGTTTATTACATCATAAATTTAGTACAATTTACAATTGAGTATTCAAAAAGATCGCACAAGTAACCTTATCAGTAACCTTATCATGCAACAACCGAACTAAACGTATCGATAACGACATTTGATAAAATATTAATGAATCGCTCAAGTATAAATTATGTATAAATTGCAATTATTATTTTGATTGATTATAGTAAATGAGCATCATCATGTTGAATGCCTCTTAATTTGCTTATTCGTTTCGTTATCAAAAATATAATTATAGTTGTGCTCGATTACGATCATGAGCTAATAACACACTTAGTTTCTTACTAGCGCTATTAACGAGGTTTTCGAAAAAACCACTAATTTTTCATATTTCATCAAAACCTCGTAATAAAGGGTTTCAAAGTTAGCAATAAGTAGCGCATTTTGAAATTAAATGAGTTTGAAAAATCTTATTGTATTGTAAAATTTTAATATCGAAAAATGAAATGTGAGTGTTTGGAGATGAAATAAATCATCATTTCAAATTTATCGGAAAATGAAATAAAGTTGATACATCGCTCATTTAAAAATAAATGCATCATCTATTTCTGTCAAGAGATTCCCGTACATAACTTTGAAACCGTCTGATACCTCGTTAATAGTGCTGGTAAGAAACTAAATTTGCGATTTAATATAAAATTTCCTCATAGCAACTTAACAACTTATATTATTAATGATTTATGCTAGATTTAGAATATTTTAATGCTATCGCAAAAATGTAAGATCTTGTAAAGAAGTGAGCTTCTCATTTCATATTAACCTGATTTCATTTTAGCCTGCGACAATAATTAATCACATGTGTAGATTAAGAGTTTTATTAGTATCTATCATCTTTTACGAAGATCTTTTACGAAGAAGCAATTTTAAATTACTACAAACTTACAGCAATAAGTAATCTAATAGCACGTAATTTGATCTGCACAAGCTTAAAATTTTTTTTGTTTATTTAAAAAATGTGTTTAGCTATTGTCCGTAAATATAAGTACATACTAATGAATCTTTTTATGATTAAATTTTATTCTTTTACATCAAATGACATGGTAAAGATAATAGTTATGGAATTATCAACTTGAATCCATCCTATGCCCATAGAGCATTGAGAGATACCAAGATCGATAATAGAACCATCAGTATAGAATGAAATAGAAGATAGGTTATGGTTAGAATTAGCGTTAGTCTGAAGGCAATCAGAGAGTTGACATGATTAAAAAATATAGAACAGGATGAAACCTGAGTTGCGAAATAGTGAAATCCGCGTTTTATTATGTTTATTATATAAAAGCGGATTTCACCCTCATGTGATAATCATACCATTTTATCGTAAGATAATTATTATTATTATAAACGTGTGTAGTAAAAACATTCTGACCTGGTTAGTTCTGTATCTAATTCTAGTTTAAAAAGAACATCTTTTTTTTTACTCAGGTAAATCAACCTTAATACAAGTAACAAATCATATTACTCCAAATTTTTATTGATATTGTAATAGGACAATTTTTTACATATTAGTCGATTTTAATGTTATGTCCTCTGCGCCATATTACCTTTCTCTTGTACAGAGACACATTATAGGTAAAAGTCTACTAAAAAAATTAACCAAATTTGACGAAAATTTAGAGTTTTGTTTAACGATACGGATGATTGTTAAATCATATTTGCCTGTGAAAATTATTGATTTACCCACACGAGGTTTTAAATTTTCAATAAAGGCAATTTATAATTTTTTTTGCGGCAAGTTGCCAAAATAGTAAGTTTTTGTAAGATGCATAACTTGTATTTGATTCCGAAAATCTCCGTATTTAAATTTTGTCAATTGTGTATATCGATACTAATACCATTTCGAACCTAAACCGACGATGATTGGTAAGTTACAGTGTAATTTAACCACGGTATCTTAAATGGCAAGTTACCCCAAGCATTGTGCGGTCCTGCCCCGCGCAATGCTGGTACATAAGTACAAATTACAGCCGTATTCAAAAACGGAAAGTCGTAAATCAGAATGATAAACATTAACCAGTTAGATTAATGTTTAATACAATATCGATATTCTGATTTATTATTTTCCATTCACACACCTTTTTTGAAACTGCTTCTTTTTTCAATAAAAAATTCGATGGTATGATTCTTTATACCAATCGTTTTCCTCTATAATCACACCGTTTGTTTTACACAAAAAAGATGTGATTATAAAGTTTTAAATAGTATTGTGATTATATAAAATTTTTTCAACGAATAAGATTGACAAAAATGCTGCTTATAATGAGGGTGTTAGGTTACTGTAGAGGAGGACGACAGTATCATATATCACTGTATTATGATAATTATAGTGATGCAATATTTACTACGTAATAAATCAGAATGCGAAAGATACTATATGCTACAGGTCAGCGTTATGAATATTTCATTTTTACCGTTACACATTTTGAAATTCCTAAAATTTTTTACAAGTCTTAAAAATAAAACACAATGATCCGAAAAAATGCCGAATTAAAATGCACGTCCGGGAAAATATACTGAGTATGGGAATTAATTAATTCCTTTTGATTCTTATAGTAGTGTACTTACGCAGCATTGTCTCGGATGATCATCCACGCATCATGAAAATCCATCTGCGCCTGATAATCGGAGTTACATAAATAATAACGACAACGATAAATCAAGTTAACATATCGATATAAAAAAACAATAAATCATGCAATGTCCTTTTTTCCCACATTCTTTTTTTTTTGGTTTTCATTTTAAAAAAGAATGTCTAATTCATATGGATTACTCGATGAGCACCAAAGAGTGAAAACAAGATCTGGAAGATGCTCGTTTTCTACTATCATGATTTTAACTTTGCTTATAATGATATTCGTGTTCGTTCTTAATAATTTGGAAAATATCTGTAAATATCATTTTCAAATAAATAATAATAATAATAATAATAATATGGTTCATCTTTCTAATTTACTAATTTCTTCATTACAATAAAAGTTGGTAATGACAATTTCATACTTACAACGGACTCGAATCTGATTATTGCAAAGAATGGTGCTGTCGCATCTGAAGTTGTAAATTGCTCGCAATATGGCGTTGAAGGTTAGTATACAAATTTTTATAGTAATTCTAGATTAGATGATTTAAATTTTGACTGTATATATATTTTTATAATTCTTAAAGTCTTGAAAGAAGGTGGAAATGCCATTGATGCTGCGATAACTAGCATGATATGTGTTGGCACTATTAATTCATTTGCTTCCGGAATTGGAGGGTATTTGAACTATTAAAAATTTTATATTTGGTAGTCAATTTTGTATTTTTCTATTAATGCATATTCTTTGTAATTAAAGTGGTGGATTCATGGTAATTAGGTTGCCAAATGGTCATTCTGAAGTAATTGACTTCCGGGAAACTGCTCCACTTGCTGCTAAAAAAGATATGTTTGTTGACAAACAAATCTTTGCTTCTGTTGGTGGTTTGAGTATCGGTGTACCGTAAGTAATATTTTGTTTATTTAAATATCTCTGAATTGAATTGTTATAAAAAAAATTGTTAATATAGTTTGATATTCAAAGTGGTGAAGTTGCAGGAATGAAACTTGCACACAAAAAGTAAGTGATTTATTTAAATTAAAATAATTGAATATAAAATTAAATTAAATTATTATTTAGGTACGGCAGGCTACCATGGAAACGCCTTTTTGAGCCTTCAATTAATATGTGCCGCAAAGGGTTTCCAGTACCACCAGAACTAGGACTTCGATTACAGGTACGTAGATAAAGTTTTTTTCAGTATTTTATATGTATTAAAAATTGAATTTAATCTTTTTTACTATTTAAAATAGCGTCATCGTGAAATAGTCGTAAATAATCCACAATTATCCGAAATATATGCCCCAAATGGCAATGTATTAAAAGAAGGTCAAATTCTTTATCGAACTAAATTCGCAGATACTTTGGAAACCATCGCTAATAATCACACTGAATTCTATAGAGTACATATAAACTTATTTGAAAATTATCTGAAATATCGAATATTTTTCTATCTTTATTAATCTCTTATCTAATGCATATATCATCCTTATGATTTATTTGTTGTATTAACAAGGGTTCAATTGCAAAATCAATAATAAAAAGAGTAAAGGCTACTGGAGGCATAATGACTCTAGAGGATTTAGAAAATTATCGCCCTATTGTTCGTAAACCTCTTGTTGGATTTTATCATGGTCGAAAGGTACGAGTAATTTAATTATGGATTCTCTACAATTTTATTGCAATTTTATTACGGTTGATTATATTGTATCGTTTACTATGTAAAAAGATCTTGACAACGCCAGAACCGTCAAGTGGTTCCGTATTAATATTCTTATTGAACCTTTTGGAAAAATATGATTTAAAAAATAATAAAATTAGCGGTCTTAATTTACATAGGTATTTTTATTATTATTTATAAATATTTTAAATAAAGTGTATAATATTCTGAATTAATAAGACTCATTTTATTTTGCATTTCAGAATTGTTGAATCATTAAAATGTAAGTACTTTTATTGATTTATTTTAAAAGAATTATTGTATTAAAGTTCTTATAACTTTATATAGTCGGCTTTGCAAGACAAACAGAATTGGGCGATGCGGCATTTGTATGAACTTGATATGTCCGTACGATATTTTGTTATTCACATATGAATCAATTACTAATACTTGCTTTAAAAAAAAATAAAAGTTCGAGAATAAAACAGAACATGAATTAAGACTAGCGGAAATTATTTCTAAGGAATACGCAGATTTAGTGCGACGCAATATTTCTGATGTATGTGTTTTTATACACTTCCATGTCTGTATGAGCCAAGTCTGGATTTGGATTTGTTGTTCATGGTGGATCATTTGCCTTGACATTGTTGACCACCAAAGTTTAAATTACCACTTTAGGATCTTTAATATCCTAATATAATTTAGGACATTTTAATAACTTTGCGATCTACTTAATTTAATAGAATGAAACATTCGAACCCGAATATTATGATCCAGTATTTGAACCTGTAAATGATTATGGTACATCACATTTGTCTGTCATTGATGCGGATGATATGGCAGTCTCCATTACCTCTTCGGTAATTTATTTAATTCCTGAAATTTTGGATTATTTAACACAAAGATTTAAGTTTTATATTCAATTTATCAAAAATAGATTAATCAATTCTGGGGTTCACAAGTGGTAGATCCTGATACAGAAATACTGCTTAATGACCAAATGGATGATTTTTCAGTACCTGGTACACCGGATAAATATGGATTATTACCATCCCCTTACAATTTTATTGGTGATTATTATTTTATATCATTAGTATGATATATTTATAACATTATTAGTATATAATATTCGATTGACTTTTATTTTTATTATAAAAAGCACCTGGAAAAAGACCACTTTCATCAATGATTCCAACAATAATTGAAAAAGACGAACGATTAGAGTTTGTTGTTGGTGGAAGTGGATCGAAGAAGATTATTTCATCTGTATTAGAGGTATTCATTTAACCCTGAAAAATCATTTATCAATGTTTTGTAGTATATTAATATTTGTAAATTTATCATGATTCAGGTTATATTATATGTATTTGACCTTAATATGAGTCTCCTGCATGCCATAAGTATACCAAGATTTCATCAGCAATTGTTACCTAATATGGTATAATTTCTTTTTTTTTTTTTGCCCACGATTTAATTAATTAAATTAAATTAAAATTATAAATGAATTAATAAAAAAATAATCTAATGCGTAATGCTGTAATGTATGTATATTTTATACATTAGGTTCTTCTAGAATCCGGGTTTCCTTTTGACCTTATGGAGCATTTGTTAGATATCGGACATGTTGTAAGTTTTTTTTTATAGTTCAAAGCGTAGCGAGGACTCATTTGTTCAAGCAGATGAAACTGCCAATGAAAATCGAAGATTTTTGGTCCCGTGAATGATCTGCATTCAATGTTACAATATGAGTTTTCGCATCACACAAGGGAAATCGAGTTATTTTATAACTGAAAAAATTTTTTTTAAATAGGTACAAATAAATCATATCAATGAGAGAGGGCTTTCATCTCAAGTTCAAGCAGTTCGAAGATTTGGAAATGGAACCATTCATGGTAAATTAAAATTTAACTTTATAACGTTTTTGTATAATTAAATGAAATTATTTCTTGATGATGTCAGAACTCTAATGTTTACTTTTTAAAAAAAAAATTGATTTATGAATTGTAGCGGCAAGCGATTTTAGAAAACAGGGAATTGCGGCTGGGTATTGATCATTGGATTGGAACCTTACAGATATTAGTATGAAAAAAAGACTATTATATATATTTCGAAAAATTTTAAATTTATTGACAAAAGTATTATTAGAAATGCCTGAAATCAATTAAGCAATAATTAATTCAAAAAAAAAAATTTCTTATGAACTGTGAAGAAGTTATTGTATTTTTATTTATTATTGGTGTACTATTTGGTTTTAAAAGATTTACGTAATCCGAACTTTAAAAAAATTCTTTCAATAATGTTGAATTAATAACTATCAATTTTATAAAATAAATTTTATAAAATCACTTTGATTAAATTATTAAAAAAAGATTTTTAGAAATACTTTAACGTTACTAGACAATGATGGCTTAATAATATTTTATGAATTTTGTTTAAAACTTTTTAAATCAAATATACATTATAATTTAAGTTTTTCATTTTAAGAGAACTTTTGTACCAGAAAAAAAAATTTGTAAATTACCTTTGATAACTCGCAAAATACATATTACAGAATTAAATCATTAATAAAATTATTAGGCAATAAAAAAAAGTCTTGATCCTATTGTAATAATTGTTTTGATGTTATCTAAATTGTCAATCAATATAAATTTTGTAACGGTAAATGTTGTATATATTAATAAAAAAGGAGCCTAGCCTCGGGTAACGGTAATGGCCATAAATATTTGTCATAAAACTACTAAAATTAATAATAATAATAATAAACACTTCGAATTATTGTTATTATTGTTTATATCCTACGTATAAAAAAAAAATACTTGATTTTCAAATCTTTGTTATATTTATGATTCTATAAGATGTAATACGTATTAACGATAATTAATTATTTTTGAATAGTAAAATATATAATATATTAGACTACAAATAAATGTGATGAAATTTTTTGTTTTTGAGTACCGCCAAGTAAAAACCAGGAATTCTAAAATGGAATTCTTTACATTACATAGAGGAATGTGAGCTTTTAACCGATCCGATTAAAATAAATTATATGTATTGTTTTTTTTTTGATCACATATCAGTATCATTTTTAATGTTCGTATTCCATTTAAAGAATTCTATTTTTAGAATTCCTGGTTTTCACTTGGTAGCATCAAAATATTACAGTACATTATTATAATTAGTTTGAAATTAATGTCAGAATTAATTTGTTTTTATATGGCGTTGGAATCCTCAGCAATAATTATTTCAATTTTAAAATAATTATAATTCCATTGTAACTTTGTAAAGCTTATATAAAGAACAAAGTTATTGAATTTTTGTCATTACACTAAATTAATGCATTTTAAAAAGATTGAAAAAATTGTCAAGATTTCCAACACCATATTTATTTACAGCTAATTATTCTCACTGAACTTTTAATCAATATTCTCGCAAACTATATTATATTGTCGTTTTTTTTATATCTATTTTACGTATTTAATATATTCTATTATTTGATGAATAATAATTTTTATCTATAATAATGATAATTTATTTGCACTGTTCACAAACGAATATGGTCCAGAAAAACGAATAGTGATAGACATTTTGCGGAAATCTTCATTTTTCATTTCCATGCAGGCTTAATACGTGTAAGTTAATTCCAATCACGGAATAATAAAACTACCGGAAAAAATGTATGTATGTATCGCATGTGCATGCATACGAAATGAAAAAATTAATGTATGTTAAAAAATATCGATATGCGTATCAAAAAGTATCTTTTTTTCAAACATTATGGTGTTACGTACAGAGTTTGAGTATACGTATAGACTTAATTAATAATATGGGGTGCCGTCAGTCAAAACGTCCCATAGTGAGATTATTAATATGTTACACAAAATGATAAAAAATCAGAACA